GTCCTAGAAAAAAGAGAACAATCCAAACAGAAAACCAGTAGAAGGAAAAAATAATAAATAATTAATCAAATTAAGAATTTAAAAAAATACAAAAAATTAATGAATGAATTGGTTCTTTGAAAAGATAAAGAAGAGTGATAAGCACTGAGCTAAACTTACTCAAAGAGAAAGAAGACTCACATCAATTAAATTCCAAATGAAACGTGAAATTACAACAGGCACCATGAAATCCAGGGATTATTAGAAATTATTTTGAAATTTTATACTCCAATGAGTCAGAGGATCTAGGGGAAACAGATGAATTCCTAGACACATGTGACCTACCAAAATTAAACAAAGAAGATTTTTTAAAAACTAAACAGACCAACAACAAAGCAATGAAATCAATATGCACTGATAGAAACACTCCACCTAAAAAGCCCAGGAGCTGATGGATTTACCGCTAAATTTTACCAGACCTATAGAGAAAAATGAACACCAATACTCTTCAAATTTCTCCATGCAAAAGAATGGGAAGGATTGCTTCCAGTATATTCTATGAAGCCAGTTTTGCTCTAAAACCAAAACCAGATAAGGATACAACAACAACAACAACAAAAACCAAAGCCCAATATCCTTGATGAACACAAACATAAAATTTCTCAGTAAGATCTTTGGAAACAGAATTCAACAATACATTAAAAAGATCATTCACCACAACCATGATGGTTTCATCCCAGGAATGCAAGAATAGTTCAACATACGAAAAATCAATACATATAATACACCACATAAATAAAAACAAGGATAAAAATCACATCCCAGCTCAACAGATTTTGTAAAAAGAAAGCCTTCAAAAAAAAAAAATTCCACATCCCAAAACTGATAAAAGCTACATATGATGAAATCTCAGCCAATGTCACCCTGAATGAGGAAAAAAATGAAAACATTTTCTCCAAAACCAGAAATCAGACAAAGATGTTAGCTCTCACCACTCCTGCTCATTGTAGTACTTGACACTTTAACCAGAGCAATCAAGAAAGAGTAACAGGTAAAAGAGATATGATTCGGGAAGGAAAAAAATCAAGTTATCCCTATTTGCAGATGATATGACTCTCATGCAGAAGATGCAAACTCCACCAGAAAACTTTTAGATCTGATAAATTCAGGAGGGTGGCAGGATACAAAATCAATATACAAAAGTCATTGCATTCCTATACAGCAACAATGAGCCCACTGAGAAATCAGGAAAGCAATTCTATTCACATCTTTAAAAATTAAACATCATCCTAACCAAGGAAGTAAAAGAAAATTATAACACACTAAAGAAGTTGAATAAAACATCAGAAAGTAGAAAGATCTCCCTTGCTCACAGATTGCAGAATTAATATTGTCAAAATGGCCACATTATCAAAAGTGACCTAAGGCTGGGCCTTGTGGTACACGCCTGTAATCCCAGGACTTGGGAACCTAAGGCAGGAGGATTACTGTGAGTTTGAAGCCACCCTGGGCTACACAGTGAGTTCAAGACAGTAAAACATTGTCTCAACATGCCCAAAGATTGATCGAGAGATTCAGTGCAATTCCTATCAGAATACTAACAACATTCTCAACAGTGCTACAAAAACAGAATCATCAAATTCAAGTGAAATCAGAAAGGATCTAGAATACACAAAGCAATCCTGAACAAAAACAGAAATGCTGGAGGCATCACAATTCCAGGTTCAAGTTATACTATAAAGCTTTTTTTTTTGGTTTCGATATAGTAAAAACAAAAAACAAAAAACAAAAAACATGGTATTGGCCCAAAACAGACACAAGGCTAGTAGAAGTCACAGAAACAAACCTACAGTCATCTGATTTTTTACAAAGGGGACAAAAATATGTGCTGGAACAAAGACAATCTTTTTAACAATGAGAACTGCATACAGAAGACTGAAACTAGATCCCTATCTTTCACACCATACTAAAACTAAACCAAAATGGATCCAAGACGTAGATACAAAACCACAAACTTTAAAACTGCTGGCAGACAACGCAGTGAAAAATACTTGAAGCTACATAAGCAAAAACAAAAACCATCTGAATAGGAGTCAACAGCACAGGAAATAATACCAAGAATCAACAATGAGAGTATACAACATCAAAAAGCTTCCCCACTGCACAGAAAACAATCAACAGAATGAAGAAACAACCTACAGAATGGGAGAAACTTTTAGCTAGCTACTTTCCCAAGAAAGCGTTAATATCTAGAATACCATTGTCTCCTGTTTCTTTCTATTTATTCTGGTTTTTTGACACTGGCCTTGAACTCACCATGTAGCCCAGGCTGACCCTGAACTTGCCTCAATCCTCCTGCCTTGGCCCCTCCAGTGTTGGGATAATGGGCCTGTGCCACCATGCCTAGCTAAATTTATCTTTCTTTACACCATATTTCTTTTATTCCTTCATGTGCTGATAAATCTACAAGCTGCTTCCAAGATAAGCTGTTATGAATTATGCTGATATCAACACTGTAAATATGTTGCCTTTAACTCTTTCAGGAAGATACTAAGAAAAGGAATGACAGGACCAAATGCAATTTCTAGTTTTTGTTTTTTAAAGAATCTCCATGAACTAGCTTATACTTCCACCAACAATGCAGAAAGGTTCCTTTTTCCCAGCAGCCTCACCAGAATTTATTCTTATTTCAGTTGCCCATCTTTTGATTAGGTCTTTTATTTTGGGGGGAGTCTAAAGTTTTTGAATCCTTTATATATTATAGATATTAGTCCTCTGTCAGTGATGTACCTGGAAAAATATTTTTTCCATTCTGGAAGTTGCCTCCACCCTGTTGATTGCTGTGTAGAAGGTCTTTTATTTATTTTGCTTCCTTTTGTTGATTTTTTTATGTTATTTCTTATGACACTGGTTTGTTCAGAAAGTCCTTGCCTACACAAATGTTTTACCTACTTTATTTTGTCTGTTTTTGAGGCAGAGTCTTGCTTATGCTGTTCTTGAACTTAGTATGTATTCAGGTTGGCCTTGAAGTCATGGCACTTCTCCTGCCTCAGCTCCCAAGTACTAGGATTACAGGCAGGTGTCACCATACCTAGCATCTGTTTTATCTTCTAGCAAATGTAGTGTTTTTAATTTAATATTAGTCCTTTGATTCACTTTTATTTTGGCTTAGTACATGATGAGAGATAAGGATCCAGATTTAATCTTCTGCATGTGAATAGCCAGTTTTCCCAGCAATGATTAAAGAGGCTCTTTCCTCCAGCCTATGTTTTTGGCCTCTTTGGCAAAGATCAAATAGCTGAAAGCACCTGGCACTTTTTAGCAACCTCTATCCTGTTTTGTTGTTTAACATACCTGTTTCTGTGTCAGTACCATATTGCTTTTATCACAGTAGCTTTGTAGTATTACTTGAAATCTGTATTGTGACTGCTTTCATCTTACTACCCAGGATTGCTTTTGCTATTATTCTTAGTCTCTTCTGGTTCCATATTAAGTTTAGGATGATTTTCTACAGTTCTGTAGAGAATGCTGTTGATATTTTGGTTGGCATTGCATTAGATCTATATATGAGTTTTTGAAATATGGCCACTTTGATAATATAGTTCTGCCTATCCAAGAACTGGGAACAGCTTTCCATTTTCTGATATCTTCTTTGATCTCCTATTTGAGAGGACTAGAGTTTATATTAAGAAACATTTTTGAAAAATTTACCCAGGTTTATTTGTATCCAAGCAAACCTCATTAAAATATCTAGAGTTTAAAAAAACACCAAAAAAAAAAAGCTAACATGTTTATGTACTTACTGCTGAACAACAGCTCATGAATTTCTACACTAATCTACAGATACAAGTATCACCTCTTTACAAACACAGACCTAGGGTTCTGAGAAATGCAAATAAATGCTGCTTATCAGAAGCTGCACAATGTTGTTGGTGCCTTTGCACATACTAATGCATTCATTCCTCATAGCAGCCCTGTGAAGAGCTGTTACCATTTTCAGGTGAGGAAATGGGCACAGTGTTCAGTCCACACAGCTAGAAAGTGTATTTCCAGAGCAGGGACTCCTAATTACAAAGCAAAGTTGCCTAAAGTCACACAGTCAGTCACAAGAGTGAAGGCCAAGATTCAGGCCCAAACTGGCTCACTCCAAAGCTCCAATACAGGACCTCTTCTGCACTACATCAGAAGGGACCAACATGCCGCCAGCGGGCCTAGCTCAGTGGTTATAGAAGTTAAATCCTGTATTTCTAAACTTCTCAAAATACTGGGAGCTCTGGCAATTCTAGCATCACGTGTTTATATGGCAGTGATTGGTGGGCCAGAGTAGAGGCCTCTGCCACGAGCATCAAGAGCTTCAGATAAGGGGCTGGGGATTTAGCTCAGTGGCATAAGCGCCTGCCTTGCAAGCAGGCAGTCGTGAGTTCGATCCCTGGTACCGACAAAAACGAAAAAGACAAAAAAAAAATGGCTACTTTTCTGTTTGTATTTCCTGCCTGCCTGAAGGCATCTGCATTTGCTACCCGTTACAGGGACTACAGTTAAAAAAGCTTCATAACATTCTGACTCTATAGTAACTAGTGGAAAGACTTTTATAAAGATAAAGAAATTCCTAGAATTCCAGCTAGAAGTCTGCAAGCATTCAAGAAATCAAGAGTGCTACGATTGCTGGAATCAATTAATAAAGAAGTTGCATGAGTAGTCAAAAGCAGAAGGGGGGAAAAAAAGGAACATAGATGTGATGTAACATGCCTGTAATCCCAGTACACCGAGAAGCTGAGGCAGTACTGCCAACTCCAAGTTCAAGCCCTGCCTGCTGGGCAGCTTAATGAAAACTGCTCTCAAAAGAGTAAAAAAATAGAATATATATATACACACAGACACAGACAGACATATTAAAAGGGCTGAGAATGGAGTATGAAGGCCAATGTCAAGAGCAAGGAAAAGATATACTGAGAGTACTCGGAGAGATAGCCACCCCTGGAGTTCTGTGCACAATCCAATTCCTTTGTGCTTCCTCTTACCTGTTCGTAGTTTATGAACATGGCGGTCTCAAAACTGTTGGCTGCCCACTTTATGAGGTTTGCCGACTGCTCTGGAGTCATGTAAACCAGCACACATTCAGTTATCACGAGTGTTGGCAACCTTAAGGAGGAAAAACAATGCACCTAAATGTGTTTTTGTGAGGTTTGGGCCCTCTAGTTACACACATGCTATCATACTGGAGGGGCAGGTCGTATGCTGGGAAAACCTCAAAGACTGAGCACACGCAGAATGGATCAGTGGAGACGGGACCCCTGAAGCCTACAGACCCCTGGCCTCAAGACTCTGAGGCCCACTCCCTTAGTCTTCTCCTAGATCGCTTATACTGCTATTCTGACTCCTTTCCCCTTTCTTCTCTAAATATTGATGTTCCTCATGGCTGGCATTAAGTAGAGAGAAATACCATGTATTCTTTTAGAAGTCCAAAAACTATACATGTAACACTGCATTTTCTTATTAGTGCATCTTAACAGTACAGACAGTGAGACTCATTTTGGTAAACTGGTATGTGCCTTTAATGTATCTTGATGCTCATATTTTAAAGAAAATATGCATTTACAAATCTTGACATAATATGTATAAGGAGATGATCTCTAACTATCAAGATTAGGAATTATGTTTATCTTCTTTCCAAGGAACTGTCAACAACTACAACTATAGCAATAAATTGCATGTCTCAGATTTTAAAAAAATAGTTACCAACATCACTAACTACTAACAGTCAACATTGGGTCTTTTACTCTCAGTATTCAGAGAAGGTAACTGAGATACAGAGAGGTGAGTTGTTCATGGTCAAAGCCTAGTGTATGCCTCTGTTGGAACTGCATTTAAACAAAATTAAATGTTATATAACTCAACTTAGATAAAAATGTATTTCCAAATGGTCCTTGAAGCACTGAACAGCCACCTGGTATGCTGAATTCAGTGGCCACAACTGTATCATGATACAAAGAAACAGACACCACTGAATCCAGCAGAAAGAGAATTAGGTCCACCTGGACTAGAAAACAGCCAGTATCAGAAGGCGAAGCACTGAAATGAAGATTTTTTTAAAAAAAAATAAGCAATGATCCAAATCGAAGCTATACACAAATTGAAAACTTAGGTCATATCATGAGGAATGATTAGAAAAGGTTAAGTGAAAGTAAAAACTAATATTCCAAAATCACAATGAGTAATTTGATAACTAGAGAAATAAGCTTCAAAAGGATATGCTGCAATTCCAGCACTCTGGGAGGCTGATGCAGAAGGATCACAAGAAGCTTTTTAATGTCAAGGCAACTATTATTGCCTAAAATATTATGTGAAGAAGGAAAGTGAAGATGATTTTTTAGGGAGTGTGGCATTTTTATTTTCATTTTTATATCTGAATTATTTAAAAATTAAAATATTTAAAAGCTATGCAAACAATCATCAGCATTAATGTCACAGTTTTCAAAATATAAATGAAAAAAAACACAGAAAAGTCAGCCCATAAAGTAAAATATAGAATATAATGAAGTCATATGAAAGAATTACACATGTAATTCTAACACTTATTTTTCAGTCATCTTGTTGATTTCCAAAAGCAAAGAAAATATCCCTACCAAGAGCTAACCTGAACCAGGGATACAGCTCAGTGGCACAGTGCCTGCCTGGCAAGCACAAGGTCATGAGTTCGATTCCTGGTACCAAAAAAAAACTAGCCCAATTTAAAGTTGATTATTTCCCCGGCCCTTCATCTTATCTGCAGAAACTGTAAGTCATTACTGCCAAAATTAGATTAGATATTACTTACTTTCTGATCAACTATGTTCATATACATTAATTCATTTAATCTTCAGAACTATATGGTGATATATTTTTTTATCCCAATTCATAAAGAAGAAACCAAAGCTCCAAGAACAAAACATTAAAAATAGCCCATTAAATACCTAGTAAACAGAAGCAAAGGCTAAGAGTCCAAGACCCATGCTCTCCTGATCCTGACTGCCATGGTTGCCTGTGTCAGCTTTAACCAATCCATCACTAACATGCACCTAAAATATGAGCCCCAAGAAACCAGTGCCCTTGAACATCAACACTTCCATGTAGCCCAAAGAAAAGTTTGCCACACACTATAATCAGTGAAGTGTACAACGTGGGCCTCAAGGGAAAAAGCAGGCAGGAATACTCACTTTACAGAGTGACTTTGTCATTTTCCTATACTGTAACAAACACCTGAAAGAGCCAACTTATTAAGAGAAAGGTTTAGTTTGACACATAGTTTTAGAGCTTTCGATCTAAGACTATTTGGCTCCACTGCTTTGGGGGCTGTGGTAAGGCAGGACATCATGTCAGAAGCAAATGGCAGAAGAAACTGATGATCTCGTGGCAGGGAAGCAAAGAAAAAAAAGAACTGGCCAGAGTTCCAGTATCCTCTTGACAGACTCCAACGAGCAGAAGACCTCCCACTAGATTCCATTGCTTAAAGCTTCCACTACCTCCCAGTAAGTAGCATGACGAACTGGGAACCAAGCCTTTAATATATGGCCCTTGGGGGACACTTATTCAAGCTGTAGACAAAGATTCAGAAAACAAAACTGAAATGACAATGATGGGTCCAGGATGGCCATCTCTAACACTGGACAGGTAGGCCTGTAAATCCTAGTAAGAATAATCTGAATGATAAGAGCTTCGACAATCATCACGTTAATGATAAACAGCAATCATCACATTAATGAAAGACGAGTTAGAAATATCAATCAACTTTCACTCCTTACTTCTCTCCCATTTCCCTGAGGTCACCTCTGTATCTGCCCTTAGTCCTCTCATCCTCCTTCCTTCCTGCTCAGAAAATCCAGCGCTGGATAACCTCAGGCCATACTCTGCATCCCTGATTTCCTCCAGGACTCTGTTCTAGCAATGATTTCCCATGTTTCTGGTTTCTTAAGTCTTTACTAATAATGTTTGCCTTCAATTTATTCTTCAAAATAACATTCCCCTCTTGTGTTACTAACCTTAAATACTCATGACACTATCATCTTTACCTCTTTAACTCCAACCTGATTTTTGATCACATTGTTACACTAAAGCCCTTCCTCTTCTTCCCAGGGGTGCCCACTCTCAAGAACTTAGTGTGAACCCTTCTGGTCCATTTATAAAATACCTCTGCAATGTAAATACGTAATCACAAAAACACAGTACCTTGAGGGTTTCGGTTTTAGGTACTTGGTATCATACTATGGATAAATGTGCAACTTGATTTTTCTTCTCTCAACATTAGGTTTATGAGCCTGTCCTCATGAATCTAGAGCACGCATTTTATATTTTATCCACTCAGTCCAATTTTCTGCTACCTGAGTGACTGCAATGAACATACACCATAATCTTGCACACAAGACCTTCTCCCGTGTACAAGTCCAAAGGTGGAACTGCTATGCTATTTGGTATATAAATATTTATACTTCTACTAGATACTTTCAGATGATTTACTTCCACCTGCCACAACCATTGATGTGTGCCCATTCCCTGTCCCCCCATTCTTGCCAACAATATATTGTCACACTTACATATTTTTGCCAACTTAGTGCGAGGAAAATAGAACTGCATGTGATCACAACTGCGACCAGCACTCCCATATAATATTCATACAGGATATATTCTGATTCTTATGGTACTATTTCTTCTTGGGGCTGCCTGGCCATCTCTTTTGCTCATTTTTCTATGGGAATCTTTAGAACACTTGTTCTTTACAATATTCTAAACTCTAATACTATGTCTGTTATACTTATGTTTCTATCCATATGGTAACTTCTATCAAACTTTGATATTCAGCACTAGTGTTTTTCAAAAGTGACACAGGTGATCATGATGTAGAAACAGATTTGAGAAAGCTCTGCTTTAAAATTTTAGAAAGTACCACACATAGCAATGACACAATAAAATTTACAGAATAAAAATGGAAGACGATCATTATACCGCACTTCTCATAATTAGCATGTGTCTTACTTTCTCTTATTTTTTCTTACTGTTGGGACAAAATACCTGACAATCAAAATGAAGGAGGGGAAGGTTTATTTAGCTCACTGCTTGTGGAGGTTTCAGTCCACAACTAGCTGGCTCCAAGGCAGGGTGGCATAGCACCAGGGCAACTCTTTAAGGTAGCACCAGCAAAACCAGCCGGAGCAAAACGGAGTAGGGGGGCGAATTTTTCTCCTTTTTATTGTACACAGGCTACCCACTCCAGGGTGGATGTAGTATTCATAAAATCTCCTTGCCTTCCTCTTGCACAGGCTGGGGATGTTTACAACAGTAAGGGCCCTGACTCCTTACTGAGTCTCCTAGCTAAATTTCTAAACATCTCAAATTGACAATGTATCCATCATAATAGCATGAAATCCCAAATATACAATAGGTTAAAAAAAATCTCACTGTGTATTCATGTTACATTTCTTTAGTTTCTCTTCCAGTTGAGGTAGCTCCCGGAGATCAGCTCCAATAATGGCATATCTCTTCGAATCCAGCATGTGCCCATCTGCAAATGCAAGAAAAAGTTTATCATTTCAACAGAAATCAATCATGAGATCATTTTAATAGAAATGATTTTTTCAAAGTTAAAGAACTTGGTTTTCCCATTTAAAAAGACGCCCCTTGTTTAAAAAAAAAAAAAAATCAAGTACAAGGAAGGTAAAAAGGAACCCAAATCACATCTTCCAAAGATAATTAAGTGTTTTGATGTACAACATGCCAGCCTTTCCTCCTTTGTTAATTTCACACACACAGGAAAAACATTTTCTTTCTCTGCATATGGCTGTACACACATGCACACATCCTGAACCACTTAAAACCTATTTTAAAAATTGTTTTTCCTATTTAACAGTAACATCAGGAACATCAATCTCTGGAATGATTTCATGGCATTCCACTGAGTGAAAAGCAACATAATTTATTTAGCTATTCCCTTACAATCAGATATGTGGTATTTCCAAGTTTTCTCTAAGCCAGGTTGTGGGGCACAAACCTGAAATCCCAGCACTCAGGAGGCTGAGACATCACCAGTTGAAGGATCATCACCAGTTTGAGGCCAGCCTGGTTACCCAGTGAGTTCAAGGCTAGACTGAACTACCTAGTGAGAACTGCTTTAAAAAGAAAAAAAAGGGGCTGGGGGTTTAGTTCAGCAGCATAAGCACCTGCCTTGCAAGCAGGCAGTCGTGAGTTCAATCCCCGTCCCCGGTACCGATAAAAAAGAAAAAAGACAGAAAAAAAAAAAAAAAAAAGTAAAGCAAGTTTCCTCTATCCTAGGCACTGCAACAAGCATCATAGTATATACTCAATGAAGTATCCTCTAGTTATTTCCTTAAAATATCAGGAGTGAGATTAAGAGAGGGATTAAATATATCCCTATTTAATTAAACACCGGTACCCCCTGGTAAACAGCTCTCTGCTACACCAATTTATGATTGTGTTAAGGAAAAATAGTTTGTGTATCAATGACTTGCCAATAAATGTTGACATTTGTTTTAAAACACCCCATCGAGTTGGGATGTAATGTGTACATAGTGGTTTTCAAGCTTTGACAGTCTTCGCAATCACCTTGATGGCCTGCTAGAATTCAGAGCCACAGGCTCCACCATGAGTTTCAAACTCCCTAGATCTTCCCATAATAGACACTTTAAAAGGCTGAGGATTTAGCTCAGTGGCACAGCACCTGCCTGGCAAGTGCAAAGTCTTGAGTTCAATTCCTAGTACAATAAAAAAAAAAAATAGACACTTAAATTGTTAGCATTACCAGGTAGTACTGATGTCATTAGTCTGGGACTAAACTTTCAGAAGCACTGATAAAATGAAATGACACTGGCAATAAAGTGAGTAGTGGTTGAGTCCACTGAAGCTCATCGATCTGATCACAACATATTTGTGCGTGCTTTGAATTTCTTTCAATGTTTTTCTTCCTTTTTTCTAATCAGTACAACTGTGTAGTACATAATGTTTACATTTCTTATAGGGAGTTGGTACATGCACATAACATATCTTATCTCTTTTTTTTCCCCGTCCCCTTTCCCTTCCCTTTCCACTTCCACTCATCTCTTGATCCTCTTCCTTGATTTTTTTCTTTAACATAAAAATGTGGTTTGATTATTTACTGTAGGCATTATTCTCAGTTTTCTCAATGGTACAGACCACAGGGCGGGGGGGGGGGAATTATACTGTATCACTGTTAATAATTCAGGTTCTCCTGACTCTTAAGAACCTTGAACCAAGAGGAGGAAAAGGGGGACAAGCCAGGCATGGTGGTGCACATCTGGAAAGATGTCAAAGGCAGAGGTCAAGACCAACTTGAGCTATGTAGTAACACTGTTTCAGAAAAACTTAAAAAATAAAAGCTTGTCAATTATGAAAAGGGTCAGGGTGGTAGCTCAGTGCAAGGCACTAGATTTAATATCCTGTGCCATAAAAAAAAAAACAACAAAAAAATGAAAACACACTGAAAATATACAACTATAACATGTAAGCAGGCTCTCCCTTACAGTCTTTATTCATCAGTTCAGCTGATGTAGCTCACTCAAATATAGTTGGTCACATACAGTAAGCTAAAAGAGGTACCTCCTAGGAGCCTCTTAATGTCAAGAAAGCAAAAAAGGACAAAGGATCCCAAAATCTGCCCTGGGGTGCCATAAGCCCAAGTCAGGAAAATAATACAAAGTAGATGAGGGCACTATTATGAAAACAAACAATTTCCATGTTTGTACACCTTTTTGCAAAAAACAAATAATAATAAGTTGGATGCAGATGAGATTTTCCATTCCTGACCTGAAAACCCAAATAAACAAAAACACCCACCAGAACTGTGTCACACGTAAAACTGGAGTACACATTTTGCAAAACAGAGGTGGAGACATAGTGACCGAGCAGTTCAGGGGAGACATTATCTTACTCAGGTTAGGATCTAAAGTTAGCAGTACAGCAACAATCACACAGCATCACGGGTACTCCTATACCCAGCAAAAAGTACAGCACACTTGACTGTGGACGGTGACTTGAGGCCAACACCAAACTGGGCATGACAAGTGGGCATACTGCAAGTGGAAAGGACTAGAGGAAAAGACCCTGAAGACCTTCAACTGACAGAACTTGCGACTGTATTAACATACTATACCACCCCCTCCACTCAGCTGTTCCTCTTGAGTCAGGCCATGCAAGCTGTTTAGAAACAGGAGGCCCAGTATCTGTCCTCAGAGAACACCTTATCATTCTGCAAGAAATACAATGTATTTGTGAAAGACACAGGCTGAGAGCATGTTCACAGGAGTTTTAACATTCTAGGAAAATAGGCCATTTTTATTGAAATTTAGTACTGGCCACAGACCACAGAAGCAACAGGAAAAACCTTGTACATTACATTGTTTCTGAGCACTGGCTAGAAAAATAACTTATCAACATGAGAACCTTAATGCTTTTTCTCCTCAATTCTATTTGATAAGAAAAAATGGAAGAGGGCTGGAAGTGTTTCGTGTGATACAGAAAGACTTTCTAAAGGAATGGACACATCCAATTCTGGGGAGGCAGTTAACACTGATTTATAACCTCTGTACTGCTACCAGTAGTTCTTTCCGTGATCAATACTGCTTGAGAGGACTAACTTCTAACAGGATTTATGAAGGGAAGCCCTGAAAGTAAAATACTATAATAAGGTTTAAAAACTAAGAGCCAATTTATACAGGGCCAGAATGAAAAGACTGTTATGAAAACCCTAATTACAGAGGCTTAGTCATCCTTCAACTAAAGCAGTAGTTGCTGGAAAGAGAAGCTTGTCTACTTGGGAACATTTTGCAGTGTGTGAAGATACAGCCTATAAGTGTGTTAATGGCAACCAGTGGGCAGAGCCCCAGGTGCTGCTGGACATCCTACAAGGTGCAGGGCAGCCCCACCATGGAGGACTTGGCCCTGTGTGTCAACAGGACTGACAGTGAGAAGCTTTGTGTTGAAGTGACACACAAAAACTCAAGACCACTAGTCAGTATTCAATTGTCAAAAATCTTTAAATAAGGATGAAGCACATTCAAAGTCTGCCTGGTCAACTTACCAAGAACCTATCTCAAAAATCTTTTAAAACAGCTGAGGAAGGCAGCTTAGAGATAGAGGGCTCGCTCCACTCACTGAGGGCCCAGCTCAAGAAGGCCCTGGGTTCAATCCCCGGCATCATGAAAATAAAAGCCTTTTAGTCCTAATTATTCTACGGTAGAGGAAACGGAAAGGAGCAAAGAAAACCCTGGCCCATGCCGAGGAGGGCAGGAGGTCCATGTGGCAGGGTCACAGCTACGGTGGATGAAAACATACTCAGGAGGCATATGGAGGCCTCATGTACCATGTGGATCTAATTCAGCAGGACTTTTAAGGAGGGAGGTAACTGATCCTGATTTCCTTTTAAAAACTTTATTCTAACATACTTTCCATTACACACCATTTGTATACTAATATTTTTATCCTGTACCTATTTTTATTCCTATAAATTTTTAAAAAGAAATCAATTCAACTATAAATCATAGACAAAGCAAATGAAATGAACATTTACAAAGGATTCTTAAAGAACAGTAAAACTAAAGAAAGAGAATCTATTTTTATTAGCTAAGCTACACAAATTTTTAAAGTAACAGGACAACATTTTAGCCTATCAGACTGCAGAAATCTTTTAAATGATTATAGCCCATATTGATGTAGGGAAAACAATCTTCAACTCTACTGAAAAATATAAATTAATAAAAAGGGAATTAAAAAGCAATTAACTATACCTATTAGAATTCATTATATTCAATTCTTTGAACTAGCAATTTCTGAAAACATGCACATACATATATTTGCCACACTAATATGAAACCATTAAAAAGGCAGCAAACTAAAGGACAATAGGGAACAGATTAATGAAATTTGCATGCAAAGAGTACTATAAAGGCATTAAAAATAATAAGATTGATATTCTCTAACACTGAAAGATGGTCATGACTTATTAGGATGTGAAAAGTTACAAAACAATTATTCATTGCTTATTAAATTATTCAAATTATTGGGTAAATTATTCATTGCTCATTAAAATTGCATTAAATAGATATATATGATTAGAGATTTATTCAGCAGGTAAGTATATAGAGAAAGAGATATACAGACAAGAGAGAGAACACTACAATATATATTTATTCAACATATATACAGTTTATTCAACAAGAATTTACTGAACCTTTTATGTTAGAACCAGGACATCCTTATTTGTGTATCTATTTGTCGTCCTCTAGCTGCACATCTGTCACCAGACAACACTGAACACTGGTTATCTTGGGGTGGGATTATGAAAGGTCATTACTTTCTGCTTCGTATATTTCCACACTATTTGACCAAAAGTAGCCCCAACTATTAAAGACTTTAGATCATGATGCTGACAACCAAGTGTTCAGAAAATTGCAACAGCAAAAGTGGTAAGAAAGCCAACAGCTCAGTGAGTGGCCAAATCTGAATAGATACTATTGATAACTTAGCCTTTGTTTCTCTGTAAGCCAGGGAAGGTATTTCTGTGCAAACTTTACAGGATTCTAATTACGAGAAGGGGGACTGCAGCATCATGGCTGTGCCTAACAGATTTATCTCACTGCCTATCTTCACTATGTATCAGTACAGGCCACCCTCTCTGAGCACATTCCCGGATACGAGAGGATATTCGTCACTAGAATCTCTCTGTCAGACACAAACTGAACACAACAGAAGATTCTGGTAGAGAATTTTTTAAACACAATTTGGAAAGTTTCAAAATGAAGTGTTGTTAAACATTCGTAATTAAATGTTGGACAGAATACCGAATGCAGGAGCCAGTACAGGGCACTGTGAAAAAAGTTCCTAATGCCCTCAGGGGACTACAGCCAGAGAAATAAAAGACATCACAAATAGAGAGGGGCACGCACAGGACAACAAGAAGTGCCACCACTAATTACTGCTACATAGGTTCTAATACAGCCATATTTTGATTTTTCCAAGAAAAGCTGAACATTGGCACTTTCATGAGAAATCTGCTTTTGAAATACTGGTGACTAATACAAATTCATTGACAGAAAATTTAAGATTGGCAGCATATGAACACTTACGAAGAGTCATACAGAAGTGCTACGAGAAACTCAGAGAACAAATTAAAAGATAATAGGAAGTAGAGCTCTTTTTCAAATGGGTAACTGATCAAGAGACGAAAGGAGTGAGGAATAGGAGGAGGGAAAGGGGATGAAGAAAAGAATATCTGTTAGGAATACAGACCAACTCTACCCAAAAAAACGTAATCATTATGCAATGCAAACATGTACTGATAAAAATAAAACTGCTCAAAAAAATAAAAAAGAGACAAAAGTGATTTAAAAATTCCTTAATGGTAATAGGGGTGGCAGTATAAACATAGCAGGGAAAAAGTACTTATTGTATAACACACACACATTTATATGACCCACACTGTGCTCATTAGGTTAAGGTACTTACCCATCTTAAGTGTGTCCTCTGAATGTAATTCTACAATGGGTTTGGCTAAAGCAGGCTTGTTTCTGTGAAAAGATGAGAAAAAGGAGAAAAATTGAGTCGGTTTACTCATGAGCTCGTTTACTACCAAAATGCCAATGCACACTTCAGAAATAGCAAATACAAGGGCCTGGGGATTTAGCTCAGCGGCATAAGCACCTGCCTTACAAGCAGGCGGTCGTGAGTTCGATCCCTGGTACCGATAAAAATGAAAAAGACAAAAAAAAAAAAAAAAAAAACCAGAAATAGCAAATACAGAATGAGTATTCCTTATCTGAAATGCTTGGGACCAAAATTTTATAGGTTCTGCACGACTTTTATCAGTTGAGTACCCCTAATCTGACATGATGCTCAAAAGGTTCAGATTGAAGCATTTTGGATTTCAGATTTTGGAGTAAGAGGTTCAACCTGTATATATTACTACTGTTTTTAAAACAATTACATTTGACTCCATACATGTACAGTAAAAATTCAACAGGTATAGATCTCGGGTCCGGTCAGCAGTATGCTTAGGATCTGATGCCTAATGATACATTAGTCATGAAGTAAATCCACTCAGAAACAGCTAAAAGGCTAACAATAATTTTCTGTGTTTTTAGGCCATCTTTGGTTTCTTGCTTTCTCAAACGAAAAATTTTTAAGACAGTTGTGTTTTATCATAAGTTACCACGAGGATCAAATCTTAAACACTTATACAATAAATTCCTTAATCCAACAAATGCAAAAATCATATACTGGAGAACCAAATTCAGTATCTCAACAACCATACACAAATATTGATCTGTTTTTCTTTCCAAGAAACCATCTCAAAGATTAAATTAGCACCCACTTACTCCTAGTTCACTCATAACTCCTAACTTAGTAGTGCTCTGCAGTTCCAGGATTTGCCTTTTTTATTTCAAAAAGAATATTTAATACAAAACATAATTTATATGAGGGACGAGTGAAAAAGTTATTTTCATAGTACTGACTAGAAGGAATAAAGCTTGAAAAAACATTTCCAATTTGAAAAGTAAGGTATCTCTAAGGCAATACTATATACCTTATATCTGTCCATCCTTTTTAAATATATGAATCAGGATTGAATTAAATGACTAAAAGCGGGGGCAATGGTAAGAAGTACCAAAACTCTCAATAGTAATAAAAGCTACTGAGAAGCCCTGACCAAGGGCTCAAGCCAGGGCTTAAATCTCAGCTCCACTCTTTCCTAGGCAGGTGATCACTGACAAAATGAATTTCTCTGAGCCTGAGAAAGATTTCTCCTCTGCAAAAAAAGGGGCAGGAATAGCATTTACAGCAACCCAGGGGAAGCACTTAACATGGTCCAGCTAAAGAAAAGCTCTCAGTGGCCAGATGTAGTGGCACATGCAGATCTCATTTTAGGGCAATTCTTTCCTTTGCGCCTGCATCCTCAGTCAGTGTGTCTTACAGCCTTCACCATGCAGCACACCTCCCGCTGTGACTCGTCAATCCATTAATGGGTTAGCAGAGGCTAAGGTGGGGATCACTGTGAGCTGGAGCCCAGCTTGATGCTGTCTCAAAAAACAACAACAAAAATAACTAACTAACTATAAGACAGGCTCTTAGAAAATATTAGCAAACTTGTCATCCACAACCATGCAAATGCCTTGAAGACTGGACTCAGAATGGCTTAACTATCGTACCCTCTTATATATTCAGTTTTACACACAAAAATTCCTGAACCTATCTTCTGGACAAGGTTACTTTCTATGTCCTTGGGATAAAGAATTTAACAACACACATATAAAATCTCAAATTATTCAACTATGATAAGTTTACTCTAAATGTCCAGAGAAATTACATCCATAGATTGATGAGTCACAGAGGGAGGTGTGCTGCACGGTGAAGGCTGTAAGACCCACTGACTGAGGATGCGGCAGCAAGACAGGAAGGGGCAAGGGGCCAAAGGAAAGAAGTGCCCTAAAACCAGATCTCCAGCATTCAAACCTGCCAGCCCGAGGCCAGGATCTCACCCCTATCTGGTTCCTTTTCCTCCAGCACAGCCACACTTACTTGATGTTGTGTAGCTTTCTTGTGACTATCGCTGGAAAGTCAACTTCAAAATATTTACTTGGGAGAAGATCTTCATCCTGGGGGAAAAAACACTGTAGTCACTTTCTCGCTCACAATGCCCACCGACCATTTTCCATATATGAAGAACTAAATGCCTAACAGCAATGGGATTTTTAAAGATTTTAAGTCAGGGATTGATACAGTCAGAGATGCATTTTTGAAGCTATTTTGTTCTCTGCAAGAGAATGGATCTACGGGAAGCAAGAATGAATGTAGTGGAAAAATTAGGAAGCTTCTGCAGTCATTCAGGTAAAAAGGTCTAGGGAGCTGGAATTAGAAAAGGGGTGACTAATATAGAGGCGAGGGAGACGTGAGGAACTCAGGAAGTAGAACATACAAGAGGTGTGTTTAAGTAAAAATAAATTTATTACAGCTATAGATATAATGCCATTAAATTTTTTTTAAAAAGACAATGCCATTCATCCCCCTTGACCTCTCTCCCTTTGAACATACAAATCCCATTGTTCTTGCCTCTTTCTGAAGCAATTCTGGAAGTGCTCTATTGTGAGTGTCTTTACAAGGTGTGGTCAAAAACACAATATATCCTGCTACCAAGTGCCATCCCACAGAAAGGCAGGCTTATAACACTAAAGATGTGTCATCGGCTACCTTACTCCTCAGTTCTGACATCATATGATTTCTGGCCGTTTCTTCAAAGTCAAAATGAGCATGAAAGGTAAATTCAGGACATCAAGGCAGGCACCAAGCAAAGCTAAAGATGCTCATGAAAGCAGATTTCCAGAACTGTTTCAGAAAGTGGCAGGAATGATAGGATAAGTGGCGTCCAAAGAGAGGCGGAGTATTTTAAGAGTGGTTGATGGCAATGTGTTTTTTTACTGTAATAAACTTTTTAAAAACATATGCTCCATATTTATCACACCTTATACAGTGTTCCAAAAGCAACTTGAGACAAATTAAAAGAGGAACAGGGAACCAATATGATGAGTTCTGAGTAGCATCTGGGGGATGAGAGAATGTAAAACAGCTACTATGAGAAGATACCACACGTAGTGAGGGTAGACATTTCTTTGCTACTGTCTTTCTGCTACATTGCAGTATAGTGAGGCACTTTGGGGCTACAGGGAAGGGTCTCAATCCCAGATCCACTACTTACGTGCTATGAGTCCTTGGAGAATCACTTAACTCACTGGAACAAGGGGTTCTCATTTAAAAAGCAGAGAAAATAGTAACACCTCACAAAGTTGTGAGGATTAATGAGGTAACTCAAGGAGGCACACAAAGAGGACCTGACCCCAGCAAATACTATTTGTGCCTTCTTTGCTTATAGACACAAGTACGGAGATACGGGTCCTAGCACTGGATGCAACATTTAATTCTCACTGTGGGCTGTAGTGAAACACACATGCAAACACACACACTCACAACTCTGCTTCTCATTCTGTTTTCCTAGTGTGGTTGGTAGCTGTAACCTCCATCCAACAACCCACTGGTCATCTTAGCCTTCTCTCCATCCTCCCCGTGGTTCTATCGCTCACTCACTCACCCAGCTCTGCTGGCTCATCCCACTTCCTTCCACTCCTCCTCCATTCTGTAAACTTGTACCCAGGCTCTGGTCTCTTTCAGCTACACATTACATATCACCTCCAGTGACTCTTTGCACCTCAAAGACTTAGCAAGAAACACAGCTCAGCCTCTCTTTAGTGCTCTTATCATGCTGCATTTCCCATCTACACTTATGTCCTAGAAATACAGCACTTCTTATAATTTTTAAAAGAAAAAAAATGAAAACCACTAAATCCCTGAGCCTGGTGACTGTGAACTCCATTGGTGTAGGATGTGCAAACAGAAAAGTTAAGGAAGACACCCTTGGTTCTCTTGAGCAACTGAGTAGATAAGAGAACCATTTAGGGGCTGGCGCAATTCAGTCAGACTGCGGCCAACAGGGAAGGAAGCTGGGCCTCCTATATATGCTTGCATATATAAGGAACAAAGAACATGGGAAGAGGCAGCAACAAGAAAGGCTCCTCGGCCCCCAATCCTGAGAAACATGCAACAGCAGACACGCCACCAATAGACATAAAAGGCTATCTCCAGAGCCTCATAGACGAGTTCAGGAATGAAGTTATTAATGACCTGAAGCAAGACATAAGCAGAATAGTCAGAGAAATGCTAAGCACCACCCAAGAAAAAGCAGATGGTGGAATGGAAGAACAGAAAAAGAGGGGAGAATTGTTTGATGGAGAAAATAAGAGAACATGTAGAATACATGAAGCAGGTTCAAAGAGATTACCAGGAAACTAAAAACTCTATCGAAAACGGGCATAACAGCTTGAAAGAAACTAAGGACAGATTATCTGAACTGGAGGGCAGATTTGTAATATGGGAGCATGAAATGAAAAACTTCTTAAAAATAACAAAAAAACAAACAGCAACAATACAAAAACTAGAAGATGATAAGAGGATCTATAACTTAAGAATTAAGAACATTAGAGAAGAAGTGGGGAGACAAACAAATGGACTACAAAAGCTATTCACAGAAATAATCCAAGAGAATTTCCCTTTAGCAAACGATAAAGATACTCAGATATATGAGGCATACAGGACTCCAGCTACCTACAACCCAAATAGAGCTACATCCAGGCATATAATAATCAAAATTCCAGAAATCCAATATAAGAACAGAATATTAAAACCCGTCAGAGACAAGAAACAAATCACTTACAAGGGAACACCCATTAGAATTACAGTAGACTTCTCGGCACAAACCATCAAATCACGAAGAGCGTGGGGGAAAATAATTCAAGCTTTGAAAGATAATAACCTCCAGCCAAGATTGAGATATCCTGCACAACTATCCCTGGAAATTGATGGAAAAACAAGGTGCTTTCAAGATAAAGAGGAACTAGGGGAATATGCAACCACCAATTCAACTCTACAGAGAATACTGCAGGATATTCTAAAAAAGAAAAATACGAAGAATCCAGAAATAGTGGCAGAGAGGCCACAATGAATGGAGCAGAAAACAAAATGAAGAAGACAAGCTGTCAACTAATGACAGAAAAAGAGCTCAAAAGAAATGAGGCAGAGAAGATTGGATGATAGGAACAGCTATCTTGGAGAAAACTACGTCATAATAGGTAGTGCTGATTTGGTATCATCTTATTTTGAAGTCCCATCAAGCTTTTGTTTTTCTGTCTCCATAGGTCTTAACATGTTGTATCTTATTGGATTTTATTATATGTGATAGTATAAACAAAAACTTTTATAGACAAGGAGATTATACAGAAACCATAGTTCATTATCTGTTAGTTGATTCTAAATACCCTGTAATACTGTCATTCTCTTGAATGGTTATACATTGTGTTGATATATTTGATGCTACAGTATACCAAGTTATACTCAAAGATCTCAAGGAAAGAGACAATATGGTAATTACTTTTATGTCGGGATTATCTTGTGGTGAAACACTAATTTGCTTAAATGGTTATGTATTGATCTGCACTGTTTAGCTGTTATGCCCTCTTTTATCTCAATCTCCATTTTATTATTTACTTTTTTATTTTTATCCTTTTAATTAAAGGCAAAATAAATTTTTAAAAAGCAGGATATATTATAGTAACCCACTTTGATATTCTATTAACTTGATTTGAAGCCCTGTATTGCTCTCACCATCTTGTTTTGACTGATGTTCCTCTATTCTGCTTTGCTTGATAGTACCAGGTTCGAAAGTTTAGGTAACAGCTGCGAAGATAGTGGGATTCATTATGACGCCCATACTGGTTGACTATTACCTACTTTTGAAGACCTGTAATGTCTCCAATGTTTCGGTTTTGTTGGTTTCGTTCTTTACTGTTTTGTTCAATTTTATTATAACTGATGATATAGGCAATTCTATTTGAGATAGCAGGAGGCATTATGGTAACCATTGTTGATCACCTTGTATTATATTTTTACATTATCTATTATGTCCACCCTTTTGATTTAACAGATTCTGTTCTGTTAAGTCACATTTGGTTTTACTCTCTTCCAAAAAAAGCAGTAAGAACTGTGGGAGCAATAAAACCCAAAATGTGTAATAGTCATTGTACAAAAGAGAGGAAAAGAAAGTGCTCTAAATGGTATAACTGCATGTAAATTTAAGTGTATAAGATAGACAATGATATTACTGAATTTTGTTGGATCATTGAACAGAACTGTTTGCAGTCCCGCTGTCTGAATGTCCACTTTATATGCTTTAATCTTATAACTAGAACAAATATTTCTAAGATGACAATATGTAATCCATTAACTAGTGATTTCCTACTGTTTATTTTTTTTCTGAAATTCTGTATAACTTGTACCCTTTTTTCTGCTTTTTTTTTTTTTCTTTTTCTCCTTAAATACAAAAAAAAGAGAGAGAGAACCATTTAGGAGACAATGACGAGAATGGCAAAAGAACACTCAGCTGAAGCAGACACTTCAAGGACAGGGGAACAGGGACAGAAATCACAGTTATCATTTCCTGTCAGGAAAAGTGACCCTTAAGAGCAAATATCAAGTCACAAGACCCAACTATGACCGCCCAAAAGGAGACTGGTTCTATGCTGAAATTTCACGGATCTCAGAAAACCTGAGCTTACTTTTCTGAAGCATGAAGACAATTTCCTGGCATGTGCTGGGGGACCTGGCCCATGACTCTCACCTGGCCATACTTAAAGGCACAGCATATACCTGCAGCCTGTGGAGGTAGACTTAGTAGAAGCTACTTGAAGATTTGGAGGATATGTGTGGAGAAGATATGGAAATAACTTTTGCTAGGAAACCTATGAGACTGTTCAAGAATGTCAACTTGCCGCTAAGGGCGTGTCTGGCAAAACACACACATAGCATGCGGGAAGCCTCAGGTTTAATCCCACCAGGTGCAAAGCAATGTTCCCTACTGCTCGGGATATAGTTCAGTGGTAGATGTGTAGCATACAAGAAGCTCTGGGTCCCCTCCCCCAGGACTCAGAGGGTATGGGAAGTTAAGGGTCACCTAAAATTCCAGCAGACAATGAAAACAATGTAAAACAGATGCACGGGAACAGCAGCAGTGCGTCCGTCCTCCAGCTCTCACAGGATGGCTTCCTTATTTAAGAGCTGGTGCAGGCACATGCTTACCTGAACCTCCTGAGAATTTGGAGTGAGATGTGCAGCAGAAGCAGTGTTTCTAAAGGGTGCACAAGGAGATTTTAGGAAGCAGCTTTCTTCTCAATTTTGAAAACGGGGCAATGGCACTGGCAAGTGATGCCTCTAGTTTTGACATTGTGATTTTAGTGGCCTTTGATTCCAAAGAGTTTGTGTGTCACGGCTGGTAGGGAAGACACCTGAGACTGGCTAATGAAGACTAGCAGAGGGCGGCCGGGCACAGAGCACTGTTCAGACGCAGAGGGACTCGACACAGCTGACTACTGCACAGACTGCCAAAACTGACACTGTAAGATCCCTGTAGGTTTATGGAACCATATATCTCTAAACAAAGAGATTGGTAAATATTTTCTGGAGCCAGAAAAGAAGTATTTTATCCTTTGCAGACAAGATGGTCTAAGTTATAATCTCTCTACTCCGCAGTCTTCACTGTCATATGGCCACTAAAGCACAAATTGCAAACAAATGGGAATGGCTGCGTTTCAATAAAACTTTATTTATAAAAACAGGTGGTAGGCCAGATTTGGTCCATGGCCTATAGTTTACAATTTCTGCTCTAAAAGAATACACAAAGAAAATGTCTATAAATATATACAAAGGAACTTTGGACCCCCTTCTCCCTAACAAAGAAAGAAATGCTTCAGACCAATCCAGTTACCAATAAAAAAATAAAAATTTTCACAATGGACTTTTAGACACTGGAATTTTCCTTCCTCGCTACTGATCTTTTTTTTCTTGGAAGGTGGACATTAATGTCAATATACACTGCTCAGAAATAAAAATGTTAGACATATTAATTATTAACCCACTACAAGATGGGGGAAAAACAAATCCTGTGATGAGGAGTCTCAGGTCCAATGAAGAGATTTCTCCAGTGGCCCCTAACAACATGACAGAGCATACCCCCTCCAGAGAACCTCTCCCGAGTCTGTCCTTACACTGCACCACGGGTCATGACATTATAATGGTCTAATAGGTCTACAAAAAAGAGGTTGTTACCAAAAATACAATGTACCCACAAAACCCACGGGGGTATATGTACAGAGGAAGGGACCTGGGGATTGATGAGCTGATTTCATTGTGTGTTCACTGTTTCAGTGTCAAGGTCTGTCAAGTCTTGGAAAACACAACCACTCACAACCCCCTTTGTCCATCTGTATAAGACTCCTTATGTTCTCATGTCACTTGGGAGGTCATGTACATAAATGCATTTCATAAAAGTGAGTCATCCTCAAAGAAGGATGCAGGGGCAAACAATGAACACCAAGACCACGGCCAGGCCACTGGCTTCTCACATAAGGAACAAGAAAGCTAGGAATGTTGATGACCAAACACATCCTTGTCAGATGAGCTGATTAGGGGAAAAACAGCCTTACAGGTCCCAATATGCCCATACACACTAATTTATCTTGGTCTGTGCCTGCAAGATATCGGGGGAAATGTACACACTAGTACTGCACATGTCTGATCTCACAGCAAAAATAAGAAAAATATGCACAGACCTACAAGAAAGAAAATGCAAGCAGGGAGAAAATAGTGAGGCCAAAGTTTAGCAGTAAAAACCAAACCTGGGAGTCAAAGACCAACACTTGAGTCTTGGTCTTACCATGACCTCAAATCACATTTACTTCCTTATGAGTATACGTGGTTAGACTATTCTCAAACCCTAATGGGGAAGTTAGGAGATGTAGTCATAATATCATCTTGCAACTTTATTGTATCTCTCAGTGATCCTCTTTCCTCAGCCTCCCAAGTGCTGGGATTACAGGCATGTGTCACCATGTCTGGCCGTAACTGAGTTTTTAACACAGGAAAATGACATTCAATTTCACTTACAAATAAGATGATTATATGATAAAGTTTCAAGATGCAAAACAGACTTGCAAATCCCAAATTTTACCCAATATGCTATTATGTGGACAACAGACTTTAGTTACTGTCAAAATTACAAATATGTGGGTTCTTCATCCCAGTAACTCGACTGGTAGAATTTTTCTCCTAGTGTCTCCACATGTACAGAAGGAAATACATGGATTTTTTAAATAATTCTACTTAGGGGCTGGGGATTTAGCTCAGAGGCATAAGCACCTGCCTTGCAAGCAGGCGGTCGTGAGTTCGATTCCCGGTACCGATAAAAATGAAAAAGACAAAAAAAAAAAAAATACTATAAATAATTCTACTTATAACACCACCACTTAAGAACAACCTAATCTTACAAGGATCCAAGTGAGCTAAAAACACCTGCAGGAGTTTTTAGTCTCACCTCTAGGCAGTGAGGACAGCAGTAGGAGACAGGATGTCAGTGTACTTTAAAATTTTTGAGCCAGGTAAACATCTTTTAAAAATTAAGCAGAATTAATTGGAGAGGTGAGAGAGAAATGTTAACTTACCTTTAAATTCCAGAAGATAGTATCCATCCCAGCCCCAAGGTTGAGAATCTGACAATGACATTCTGTCTTCCGGAGGAAAGCTTTTGTAAGTTGGCTGACACCCTGGACACGAGCAAAATATCCTTAAAGAGGGTCAGAGAAACAAGCCATCACTCAGCGATCCTCACAAAACCTACCACACCAACACTAGGCACTAAACGGTGTCCCCACCTCTACAATATCTGTTAGAAAATCTCTAAAAAGACCACAGGAAAGAATGCAAAGTAAAAGAGGATGCTCTTATCTCAAGACCCATTGCTTTTAAAATTTCTTTGCATTTCTTTCAGAACCTAGCCAAGGGACTCTACTTTAGGGGCCAAGATTCCCTGCAGACAAGAGAACCACGGTCCTCCAGTCAGTCTCTCAGTGGGAATGAGGATGTCATGCTTCTGCCTCAAATCCTTGGACTTCCTAGATAAAAAGTACTCAATCACGTTAACAGTATAATACTTCATATGAACAGTTTACAATAAAAGACGTAAGTGAGGCTTTGTTTTTCTCTTGGGGAGAAGCTAGTTCCTGAGACAGGATCTCCCTATGTAGTTCAGACCATCCTTGAACTCACTAATTAGCACAGGCTGCACTTAAACTCTTGGCAATCCTCTTGCCTCAGCCTCCCAAATGCTGGGATTATGGGCATGTGCCACCATGCCTGGCCTTAAGTGAGTTTTGAACATAGGAAAATGACATTCAACTTCACTTACAAATAAGAGGATTATACAATAAAGTTTTAATACTATATCATTTTTCATGCATCATATTAATAGAGTAAAAAGTTTCATACTACATCATGCTGGTAAATAAGAAATAAGACTATTCATATTTTGCTCAAAGAGTGGACACTGGAGCTCCCTTTAAAAAAGAATCCCTTACATCTGAGGCCTTTCCTGTGACAGAGACATTGGGGAATACTTGCCTCTGTTAATTTCAGGGGCCTTCCTCTCTTTAGACAATCTCACAAGGTGCTCAATGTAGGGATCGTGCCAGTAGCCAATGCTTACTGCATACCTGAAAGATGAAAAAGCCGGCAGAGAAGCACAGATTAGTTTCAGGCACCATCTTCACTGCCAAGGTCGCAGGAATCAGGTCGAAAAATCCAGAGGAAAAATCATGTAATTAAGAGGCCAGTACAATAAATGCACGTGCAGTACTGTGTTCCACTTTAGTAGGGGTTGAGAGGGGCGGCTGGGAATTGAACCCAGGCCCTTCACCATGAACTATATCCCTCACCTCTTTTTTGAGACAAGGTCTCACTAAGTTCCCCAGGCTGGACTCGCAGTCCAGACTTGCAGTCCTCCTACCCCAGCCTCCCAGAGTGCTGCGGGAAGGCACACACCACTACCCCTTGTTCTGTTGCACGTTTCCACAGATGCACCCACCTTTCTATTCACATCCACTGCCCACCGCATTTCCCACAGAGACCCTTTCTCACCTCTCTTCAAATTGCTAATTCTATTCTCAGCTCCCCAGTAGCTAATCACCTCACACTTCTTAGAGAAGATCTGTAACCATCTGTTTACTCAGCAAAGTCACTGGCTAGACCTAGTCAGGAAATTGCTAAACCAAACATTCTGTGCCAAGAATGACCCAGAATACTGACAAATACCACTAACTGATACTTAAATATTTCTCCCAAAGCCAATCATTATCCTTCCTTAGAGATCTTAGCGAGGAAAACAGGAACAAGTGAAACAACTACAACTTGAAAAACATCAAGAACAGCCTACATGATTTCTACCCACGTCTACTCTGCAAAGAAGTAACTGCCCAGTGTTCTGTGCCTGGGATCGGACACCGTGGCTACCACTGAATACCTTCTAGGGACTACGAGAAGACCCACACCTGTAGACTACTCTACTTCTTAAAGTACAGATTATGAGACAACACGTGTCTTTACCATGTCGACAGCCTTGCTCAGGCGAAAGCACCCCAACTGATACCTGAGTCCTACCTCCATTTCCATGTCACTGGATAACAAAGCTGCAATGTAAGAGGCAGGGTATGTTACATCTCCCAGCTGGATTCCTTTCTTTTTGGTGATGGAGATTGAATATAGGGCCTTCACACTGAGCTACAGAATAGCACTAATGTTTATTTTGAGAGAGGGTCTCACAAAGTCACCACGTTACCCAGGGTCAGCTAGAATTTGTGATCCTCCTGCCTCAGCCTCCCAAAGTAAAGGGATTATAGGCATGAGCCACCTTACTCAGCTACATCTTTTATTGCTACAGTCAGCACTGAAGAGCTGGGTGTGGTGGTGCACACCTGTAATCGCAGCACTCAGGAGGCTGAGGCAGAAGGATCGATGTGAGTTCAAGGCCAGCCTGCACTATAGTGAGACCCTACCTTCAAGGAAAAAAAAAATATATGTAAATACACATATACAGGTATATACATTATCTATATAGTCAGCACTAAACTGCATACAAACTTTTTTCTGGCAGTCTCTCATCTATGTATGTACACAGACCTTCATGAGGGACCACGTGGGTTTGGCTATTTGATGAAGCAACTCAACAGAGAAATAATTGAAACAATGAAACAGGATTTGCTATGAAAGCCCTGACTGCTGAAAGGACAACAGAACACTCATATGTTAATAACAGAACATGCTTAGTTATCTGAAAGCTTTTCAAACAATGAATTGTGAACTGCAGTGTAACATCAAAAAGTGTGCAACCCTGAGTTTTTTAAAACACAAAAGATAACAGAATAAATCAGAACATGTCAGCATGTGCCACACATGGTGAGGTTTAAGGCAGTTTCATGCCAGCTTTGTTTCTAGTGTGTGGTAAAGGTCTGCATACAATGAAAAATGAGCCTTTTTCCTGAAGCAGGCAGCTAAACACTTTCAAAGGCATCTTCTAGCGCCATCTAGTGGCAAATGCCTTGTCTTACAGTTGAGGCAAGAATGATTCCAACAGGAGCACAGAGGGAAGGACATCGGGTCTGTGGGGTCAGTAACTGCAGTTCCCCAGTGTTCAAGCAAGCAATCAAGACATAAGGACTGGAGACATAGTGCTGGAAAGAGTACGGAAGGGAAGGTTGCCTGGCAGCAGTGCCACAAGTTCTGAAGGGAGATGTATCACATTTCAGGATGCATAGGCCAGACATCGGAGATCAACCAAATTACAGTGTATTCATACAATGAAATACTAACTTATCATTTAAAATAAAAAGTAGACAACAGACATGGCAAAGTGTTCAAGAGACGGTGTTAAGAGAAAAAAGAAAAACCATCAACATATGAGATGTAACTGTTTACATTTTTTTTTTATTTAAAGAAAAGGAAACGAAAAAAAAAATACATGGAGATTTAAAAAAAAAAGGGTAGAAATAATACTAAATTACAGACAAACAAAAGGTAAGAAATTGCCGGTTGATAAGTTACAAATTGTCATCTTCGAAATGGCTGTTCAGGTTATAGAATTAAAGTATTTAGAATGACATTCAAAAAAGTGACCCTACAAACCATTCTGCTCTATGATCGAACAAAAGCTCCGTAATATGATTATCAGTCCCACCTATTTGTTTTACATCTCAAAGAGGGTAAGGTTAACCATATCAAATCAGAACAGAACATTTAAAAAAAAAATAAAAGACAATTTAAAGAAATACAGATTTCAAAGCAAGTCCACTGGAGATCTTCCTTATCTAACTGTCTCTAGCTTCTTACAAATAGTTGTCCCTAACTTCACCCACTTTATATACTTATTGCATATTATAGAACTAATCAAATCATTACAGGATGATGAAGTCTTTTTAGGTCCTCAAGTTCCAAATTAGGGAAGACAATAGCAACTACCATCGCATCTCTCATTCTCTCTGTGATAGCCGTCCCCATCTCTGCATATGCTGAAGTTGAGCTGAAGAAACCAGTCCAATGTCATTCTAATCAGCAAACAATAGATTGCTAGAATTTATATTATAATGCTACAAAATAAGCCTCGGGTTTTTCAGGTCTCTTCCTCAGAGTATTTGTTCCTATCCTCTTTGTATTATAGGGAAAACCAAGTCATAACAAGACAGCGAAACAATTTCCTAGAAAAACATGCAATGGATAAGACATATAAAACTATAATATAAATGATCTTCCGTAGCTACTATGTTTTCTCTTGTTATTTTCAATAGATTTGTCCACAACACTGGCTTATTATAGTTAAACATACTATCACCTATTTTTATAAAAACTTATCTTTGACTGCATTGTAGTATTTGAGAGCTGTTACTGATTCATACCAGCATGGATATCCTTTACATCTTGTCATGCTCAGAGTAGTTTCCTCTACTTTTAGGGTTGATTCTAACACACATACCAATTTCAAATAGGATCAGTCAAGGCCAACCAATAGTCTTATGATTCAGATACAATTAAGATCAGTCATAGTAAGACAATGTAAGTAATACAGGATTTCAGCTTAAGTCAATAGGAAAGTAAGGATAGTTACCATGGTATAACCTGCTATTTTTGGTTCTAGAGGTCTGTGTCCTCAAATCTGACATGAGTGGACAGACCAGAACAAATTTAATTCAATCTAAATATGGCACTAGGACTACTGTGTCTTTTAAATCGTTATACACCATTAGCAATGACCTCTGCTTTTTTTTTTTTTTAATATAGTTTCAGAGCTGTCTCTACTAAAGACTAGCTTACCTTCTCTGCCTCATGTCTGCTACTCCACTTTTCTGCTATAATTTGTCCACCTTATTCCCTCATTCCATTGTCTGCCCCGTTCACTGAGGCCTCTCTGCTGTTTACATTTTTAAAATTACAGTAAAATACATGTTGCCATCGATCCCCTGCAAAATAAACCTTTTCACTTTGAACACACTTATCCCATCGATCTTGACACTTTACGAAGCAGTTCTAAAGTCTTCTGTTGTATCTTTCATGTGCTTTCATGGCCACCTCGATGTCCTGAACCAATTCAAATTACTGATCTTTCACGGTCACTTTGATTTGGGGAAGAACCAGAATGTTGCATGGTGCCAGAACCGGTGGATAAGGTAGATGAGACACATCATCATGTTCTTATGAGCCTGCCTTTCTGCTGGATGGCAGCTGGCACAGCATTCACTGTATTTCTGATCAGACTTCGTAAAGACACTCATTAAAAAGAACTACCAGAACTGCTTCAGAAAGAGGAAAAGCAATGGGTTAAAAGGATCAGAGTGAAGGACATATTTCATGGGGATTAACGACAATGTGCCTTTTACTGTAATAAATTTTCAAAAATGTAAACATTCACCATATAGTCTGATCACTCCTTGTACATACATATATATACATATATATATATATATATATATATATATATATAAAAAACAATAAATACATTTGTGTTTACACTCTGCAGAGAATAGGCAATCAATAACAAAACAATGATTACCTGGTGCTAACTTTATTTATCTATATTTTTTAAATTTCCTGCACTAACCCTATGACCCTTAAAACATCAATTATAAGATGGTGCCACCAAGAAAGAAAAAAAACCAGTGACAATTAAAACAACTGTCAGTTACTTATCATCTAGGTCTTTTCATTTTATGACTACTTAAAAGCTCTTTTGAACTTGTTTTAACAATGATCATATCTCTCTGTACACACATAGAATGAAAAGGACAGTGAAATAAGTTGGTTAAGTTTTCACTTTCAAGATTAGTCAGCAACTACACAGTATCCACATGTGTGGCACCAAGGTTGCTGTGGGTGTGGCACCTCTTAAAGACATTTTCTTCCAAGCTGCTGCCCTTCACTGTTTAAGTTTTAACACTGGCTCCTTCCTAGTCTCATCAGAAGGTGTCGATAAACTGGACATGATGGCACACACCTGCAACTCCAGCACTCTGGGAGGCTGAGGCAGAAGATCACAAGTTTGATCTGGCAACTTACTAATTGAGAACCTGTCTCAAATAAAAAGAGACAAGGGCTGGGGATATAGCTCAATGGTAGAGCACTCCTGGGTTCAATCTCCAGCACTTTAAAAAATAAAGTATTCATATGCTTG